TTAATTGTGGGTTCATTTTAAAAACTTTCTGGTTGTTGTTGTTTTTTCTATTCACCTGCAGGAGGTATTTGGGGAAAATCTGATTTTTATTATTATTATTTTGCATTTGAGTTGCAATGTTGTTGTTTCCAAAGTAAGCCGCTAGTCCTCAAGAGGTCTGAAAACCTCCAGGATGGTGGAAGGCGGTCGAAGGAAGCTTGAGTTGATGATTCTAACGCTGCTTTGCAGGCGGAGCGATGGGTCTAACTGGTTCTAACTGGTTTTCCTTCCATTTCCTCCCAGATCGACGTGAGAGCATTCGTCCTCATGGCTCTTCTCGCTTGCGTCTTGGGCCGACGTTATAATTTTTGCTCCGCCGGCCGGATCTGAGATGTTCTCCAAGCGAAAGACTCGCAACGTCCAAGCCACTTGTCCCAACGTGCTGACCCCTGACACAATCCCTTCCTTTTTGATCCCACCCAACCTCGCCACCCTCCAAGGCCGCCGGGCAGCTGGGAACCCCAGGCTGGGTGATGCATCAGCCCTGCCAGTCAAAAACAAGGGCGCTGCGGTGCAGGAGGAGGGACCGCAGGCCGGGACGCGACGCCCAGGCACTCCCGCCACGATCCAGCTCCCAACCCCGATGGACTTGGGGTGCCTGCCCGAAAGCCCCAACACCTGGCGGCGGGAATCGCTGTTCCATAGCAAGCCCCCGCCCCACCGAGGGCAAGTTGGCTGCTTTTCCTCCCCACGGACAAGGCCCCTTTCGCAGCCCACTCCGGGCCCGGACAGCGACACTGCCTCTTCCGCGGAAAATTCCCCGTACAATTCCCCCGTGCCCGTGCGTCCTCTCGATGGGCTCCTGCCGGGCCACGGCTATGGGCACCGGCGGCGTTTGGCATGCCGCTCCCCGCACACCCTGCGTCCCAGCTCCTTCTCCACGGAGGACACCAGTTCGACGGACACCAGTCCCTGCTGCCTGCGCCGCGAGGCCGACCCTCCCTGGATCTCGCCGGGTGCTTGGTCCCTGGCGCCGCTCTTCCCCCTGGGCTTGATCCGCTGCCGCCAGCGGCTGACCAAAGAGGTCACGTTGACGGTCAGCCAAGGCGGGCAGCTGCGTCTCTCCAGCGAGTACCTCCA